CCCCAAAACCCCAAAACCCCAAAACCCCTTATCAACTAAATTTGATAAAATAAAAATAGTATTTAGTAAAATAAAATGATTCGTTATTCTTCAATTAAGAAATTTCATTGTTCATAAATTAATCATTTACTTTTCTACAGATAGAAGTTTTTTCATTCTTATCTCATCTTCTCCTTGGCTTTACGAAATATTTTACATTCTTAAACTAAGATCTCATAGTTGGTGACATATCTTCTATTCCTCCTTGACCATATGCTCCATATTTGATGAAATGAACATCGTGGCCTTTATCACGACCATGCCAGACTTCTTATCCATTCAAATATGCTTGAATCTGATGAGATTTCGGGTCATGAATGACATTCATATGTTCCCATTTACCAGTAATATCTTTAGCTAGTATCCTATTTTTGTAGTAGGTCAAGTCATTATTATGCACTTGGAACATAAAAGAAGTTGAATGAGGATTCTTCTTATTATAACTTCTGTTTCCTCCAAAGATCTACATAATAGCTACAGAATCTGTTCCCTTAGGTACTCTGAAGTCTGCAGAAAATTACTAAGGCTAGTGAGATGAATCATAATCATTTTCAATTCTTCTTTCAGATCTGGAGTTTGTTTTAGAACCTGGCTTAAAAGGCCCTCCATCTCTTTGTGCTGTAAATGTTTCAATTCCTTTTTTATTAGTGTAATGATCAGATTCCTTTTTGGATCCATGATCATATTGGAGTTTAGATGGCCAGTGAACCTAATCCCAACCATGCTCCAGTTATTACTCTCTTTGACGTGCAGCAGGTGAATTGTAAGAAATTTATTATTAAAGCTTACTACTCAATGTAGGATGTGAATTACTCTCTTTGGTACTTAAAGTTAAAGTAAGAGTAGACACCAAAACTAAAATAAGAGTCTTTGTTTTTATCATTAATTTATAAACTATTTCTAATGAACCGTTTATATATTACTAAGTTTAATAACAAATATCCAATTAAATTACTTATATATCTTTTATATTATTATTATTTTGATCATAAATTGAAGATATTATATTTTTGAGGGGTTTTGGGGTTTTGGGGTTTTGGGGTTTTGGGG